ACTCCTGACCTTGAGTGATCCACCCGCCTCAGCCTCCCACAGTGCTAGGATTACAGGCACAAGCCACTGCCTACATCACTCTTCTTTCATTGTTGAAGGCTAGTTTTTCTGGATGCAGAATTCTTGATTAATAGTCTTTTTCTTTTAGCACTTTGAATATGATATCGCACTGCCTTCTAGCTGTCATGATTTCTGGCAAGAAATCAGCTGTTAACCTTATTGAGGGTTCCTTTTATGATGAGTCACTTCTCTGTTAGTGCTCTCAAATTCTCTTTCAACAGTTTGATTGTGGTGTGTATAGGTGTGGATCATCAACTTGTAGTTCATTGATCTTCCTGGATGTACAGATCAATGTCTTTCATCAAATTTGGGAAGTTTCTGGCCATTGTTTCTTCACATATTCTTTCTGCCCTTGCTCTCATCTCTTTCTGGGACTCACATTACATGCATGTTTGTGTATTTGATGGTGTTTCACAGATCTCTGTTCATTTTTATTCATTCTTTTTTCTTCTGTTCCTCAGACTGGAGAATCTCAACTGAACTATTTACCTGTTTATTGATTCTCCCTTCTACCAGCTCAAATCTGCTCTTGGGTTCCTCTAGTCAAGTTTTCATTTCAATTATTGTACTTTTCAACTATGTAACTTCGATGTATCCCTTTTTAATCATTTATATCTTGTTATTAATATTCTTTATCTGGTGAGACAATGTTCTCATATTTTCCTTTCATTCTTAGATATGGTTTTCTTTAGTTCTTTGATCATATTTATAATAGCTGTTTTGTTTTAAGACAGAGTCTCACACTGTCACCCAGGCTAGAGTGCAGTGGCATGATCACAGCTCACTGCAGCCTCGAACTCCCAAGCTCAAGCAATCCTCCTGGCTCAGCCTCCCAAGGAGCTAGGACTATAGGGATGAGCCACCATGCCCAAGTAACTTTTGTTGTTGTTGTTGTTGTAGAGACAGGGTGTTGCTATTGCCCAGGCTGGTCTTGAACTCCTGGCCTCAAGCAATCCTTCCACCTTGGCCTCCCAGAATGCTAGGATTACAGGTGTGAGCCACCACATCCAGCCTATAATACATGTCTTAAAGTTTTAGTCATGTAATTCCAACAAATGGGCTTCCGCAAGGACAGTTTCCATTTATTGCTTTTCTTCTTGTATATGAGCCATACACTCATTTCTTTGCATGTCTCATGATTTGTTGTTACTGAAAACTGAACATTTTAAATAATATAATGTTGTGACTCTGGAAATCATATACTTCCCTCTCCACAGGGTTTGTTGTTGCTGTTCTTTTTTTTTTTTTTTAAAGTAATATTATGTGCTATATTCTCTCCCTGTTAAATCGCAATTAGAATTAGTCCTACAAATAACTACATATGTAATGCTCATCACCAGTCCTAATGTTGATGCTTCTTCTCTAGTCATTTTGGTTGACTGAAACTTACTCTTTAGTAGATTCCTAAGCAAGGGCTCATGGGAACAATATTCCCCAAGTTTTTGAATGTTGATGACAGTTTGTGCCCTTTATACTTGAAAGTCAGTTTTGCTGATTTAAAATTCTTGGTTTACATTTTCTTTGCTGAAGCATCTTAAATATATTATTCCATTTTCTTTTGGAATAAAGCATTATCATAGCAAAATCTGATGACAATTCATTTTCTTTTCCTTATAAGCCACAGTTTGACACTTAGTTTCCATCACCCCCTCTTTCCTTTAAAGTCCAATAATCTTACTAGAGTATGTTCTGGTGTTTGTTGTTCTAAGTCCAACATATTCTCAGGTTGAAAGTCCAACATATGTGCACTTTCAACATAGTTTTTTTTGTTTTTTGTTTTTTTTGAGACAGAGTCTCACTCTGTTGCCCGGGCTAGAGTGCCATGGCATCAGCCTAGCTCACAGCAACCTCAAACTCCTGGGCTCAAGCGATCCCACTGCCTCAGCCTCCCAAGTAGCTGGGACTACAGGCATGCACCACCATGCCCGGCTAATTTTTTCTATATAGATTTTTAGCTGTCCAAGTAATTTCTTTCTATTTTTAGTAGAGACGGGGTCTCGCTCTTGCTCAGGCTGGTTTCGAAATCCTGAGCTCAAACAATCCACCCGCCTCGGCCTCCCAGAGTGCTAGGATTACAGGCGTGAGCCACTGCGCCCGGCCAAGCCCAGTTGTTCTTAGCACACGACATCAGCACAGCCAACCACAGCCGAATGCTGCTTCTAAAGTCACTGAGGAAGACATTTAGTCTGAGAATGAAATTCCAGCTGAGTGAGTAGAAAGCAACAGGCAATCAGAGGTGACAAGCTTATCCAGGGCCTACTGAAATCATTTATATCGTCCCATTGACAGGTGGGCAGGACAGCCACCCTGGGATGAGAAGCCAAAGTCTCCTCTGTGAGCAGCGGCTCGCACTCTGCCTAACTCGGGCAGCAGTGCTCAGCTGCAGACAGCGGGAAAGTCAGCAGTCAGCGAGCGTGGTGGCTTGGTGACTCAAGCCTTCTGGACAGGGTCGTTCCTTTACTAGTCCCGAGTAACTAGCACTGAAATACAAAGCTCACTTATAGCCAAACCCTATTACAGGTCTTGATGTTTCGCAGAAACTTTTACAAAACTGAAAGTTACAAAGTTCACCGAGTACATTTTTGAATGCCGGATCAGAAGTACACAGACCGCTCCACACTAACACCAGCAGTGCACTGTCCAACAGTTCAGTACACTGATGGCGTCATGCTTGTGTCCAAATACAATACCCATGCTGCTGCTTTTAGTCTATAGCAAAGACATAGAGAACCATGCTTACTCTATTTATCCAAAGATTTCCTAAATCTCATCAATGTCAGAAAATAACCATTATTTTCAGAATTTTCATTAACTTCATTTTAGAAAAGGACACTGTCAAACATACTGGCCCTGGTTTTCTATCTGTGGAGGTCATGCAAGGGGTCATAGGTCATGTCTATCAAACTCCTCTCTACTCCAGTGATCATTTCAAATGAAAATGGAGGGAAACCAAAGCTGACCACATTAGAGCAACACGGTCATCACGCAAAGATGTGGAACAGATGGGAACTTGGGGGCCTCCAACTTTGACAATGTCTCTTTTAAGTTGAAATGTGAGTTACTTAAAGCGAGTCTGGGGATTCGTTCTGTCAGAATTTACCACAGTGAGTATTTCCATAGACTTCTGATATGGGATCTTTGATTCTCTATAGCAAAGTTTTTAAGTTCCAGCAGATGCAACACCCCTTAACATGAACCTTACGTGAAATCCTCATGTAGATGATAACTAACTGTATTCTCAGGTCTTCACCACCGTAATTATGAGCTATATCCTGCCTTCTCCACTGTGCTCTATGTGGCATGTGTTCACACAGCCATCAAATGTAGCCTCTCAGACTCACGTTTAAAAGAGGGGAAAGGGATCCATTCAGAGTGCAGGGAAATAACCTAAATAACACGATCACGGAGCAAACAAACAATCCAGAAGGTAGAATGTTCTTCAACACAACCGACCCGGTTTTGACAATAAATCAATTACACGGGGAAAGAGGGGGAAGGGAGGGGAGCTTGCTCCAGGTCCAGAGAGAAGAAAGAGACACAACAACCAGAGGTAACGAGTGGACTTCATATGGGTCCTGATTAGAACTTAATTCCTGTCCAAAGACATTCTTGACCTTGAGGACAATTTGATTTTGTCTGAGTATAGGTGGCACCAAGGAATCATGGTCTATTTTGTCAGGTATGATAACGACATTGTGGTTTATACAAGAAAATGATCATATTTTCTAGAGATACTTACAGAGGTTGTAAGGGTCAAATGATAGGCTATCTGGGATTTGCTTTCAAATACTTCAGCAAAGAAAGAGGAAACGGCATTACACAAAGCAACTGGGGCAAAATATTTGCAACTGTTGTATCTGAGTGATCAGTATATAAGGGTTCAATGTACTATTCACTCTACTTTTGAATATGTTTAAAATTTTTCATGTTTAAAAAAATTCATGTAAAAAATTGAAGCATGGAACTAAAAACCTTTGGTGATAAAATGTATAAAAGTTCCAATCTATAATAAAAGAAAGAGTTAATAAAAACACATCGCTTTTCCTTTTCCTTTGAAAAAATTCTAAGAAACAGAAGTTCTAGTGCGAAGCTCTGGATCCCCGGCAGCCACAGAGCCTGAGCGGCTCTCCCTTCTCTTCCCCTCTCTGCACGCTCCATGCCCGCAGGGCAAATGACCACATCTGCCTCTCTCTGGCCCACAGTACCAGCCAGGAACTAGCTTCAGAGAGCTCAGCCTCCCTGGCATGTCCCCATTCGGTTTCTCAGGTTTGGGAGGGGGTGAACTGGGGAGGGGAAGGGTGGCTTGTTGTAACATGGAGTGATTTTTCTGGCCTCTAAAGGGAGGTGGTTACAAAGATGATCCCTGTCAAATCTCACTACCACGATGTTTCAAGGGACTAACACATGCTCCTTGGATAAATATATATGCTCTTTTAATCTGTATCACAGTCTCATTAGTAAGTACGTTCCTGAGTTCCTTCAAAGAACATTGTTATTGCAACTTTTAAATAATAAGGTACCTTTTATGGCTGTCAGTGTCATCTGGAGCAAGTAGAGCTCATTATTGGATAATACCCAAGTAGCTTCTAGCTTCAGTAACTGCAGACCTTCAGTCACAACATGCAAATGATGAAAAAAAGTGACCCTTAGGTCCTCCTTAACTCAGTAAGTCAAATAATGACCTAGCAAGTTGGTTACTGTGACGGTGAATCCTTGCATTGCCACACCTTCTGGACACAATGGACGAGACATCCTCTTCCTTTGACTCCCTGTCCAAACAGTAAAGACAAAACATACCAAGATAGCTGATCTGATTTTTGTGATTTTATAATCTGATGACTTATGTGGTAAGAGCAGCTACTATCCAAATCAACTTTAGTGTCATAAGAATTGTTATACAAGGTTAAAACCCATTATCTGCAGAGTTCCTAATTCTTTTTCCACCTTACAACTATTCTCCAATACCTTATGACAATACATTTGTAAAGTCACCATAATTGTTTGAACTTCTAAATTATAAAATGTGTGAGTATTGCCCCATCCCAACTTCTAGTCTTTCAGAATGCCATTTCTCTTTCTGAATATTACCTGAGTTGGTTTATCTTATACATGCAATTAGATATACTGAAAAGTACCTCAGGCTCACATTTAAATCATTTTGTATTTAAGCACTGATTTTACAAAATGTAACATATAAAGGTGAACTAAATTTACAACTTAATTTGTTTAAGCAAATTGCCTTCACAATACACTGCAGCTAAGATGTGTGTAAGATTTTACATGCATTTGGGGAGAATCACACAGAAGCAGCTGCTTTTTCAATAAACTTGGCCAACTTCACATCTTTTTTGGTCAATCCACCATAGTCATGCGAGGTAAGAGTTATCTGGACCTAAGAAAAGAGAAAATAGTTTTTAAAACCCTGAGCTGCAATTCATAGTATTCTCCTTTGGTGGTTCACAAATCAGTCTATTATCCAACATTCACATTTGAGAATTTGGGGGGATTAAATGATTTAGAAAATACTACATTATGAACAAGCAAAGCATTTCCAAAACCCAGCAAACTGCAGGGGCACAGTCTACATCAGGCCAGGCTCAGCAGCTACTCAGGGATAAAAAGGTTCTCTGATACGGAAGAGGCAATTCAGCTGCCAGAATCTCAAATCTTGTTTCTTGGGGAAAAAAAAAAAAGAGAGACCAAGGTTCTATTTGAACTCCCATTACTTTAATTACACTGACTATTTTCAGGCCACTGAGAAAAACCATGCTATCAAATGTAATATCTTAGTTGCAATGTTAAAAAAGCACATTTCCAAATTGGAGAAGCGGGGAGGGGGTGAGGACTGGACTGTTGCTTCTTGACAAATTGATTTAAAAGCAAAAGCAAAATTATGGGCAAAGAGAGGCAACTAGGAAAGAAAAGTTTATCCTGGCACCAGTGTGCTTTGAATTATTGCAATAAATCACAAGAATATCATGAAATTCTCTCTTTTTTCAAAGAGGACTTTCAATGAGAAAATAAAACCTCACAGAAATCTGGATCATAAGATATTCCAAATGGCATGATCATAAAGACAAGGACACTTTTGGAGGGACATTTCTTCTCACTGTGCACCCTTAAAACTTTTTAGTCTGTCCTTTGTCATAAATAAGTTCAGTTCCCACTCAGGATACAGAATTTAATAAACAGTTATTATTTAAAGCACAGTTCTTGAGCAAATTTAATTCAATGAGATAAATAAGGCCACATTATCTTATTTGCTACCATTTTTTTCAATAATTTAACTTAAATTAAAAAATGTACCTGCTAGCACTCTGGGAGGCCAAGGCAGGTGGATCGCTCAAGGTCAGGAGTTCGAGACCAGCCTGAGCAAGAGTGAGACCTCGTCTTTACTAAAAATAGAAAGAAATTATTTGGACAACTAACAATCTATATAGAAAAAATTAGCCAGGCATGATGGCGCATGCGTAGTCCCAGCTACTCAGGAGGCTGAGGTAGGAGGATCGCTTGAGCCCAGGAGTGTGAGGTTGCTGTGAGCTAGGCTGATGCCACGGCACTCTACTCTGGGCAACAGAGTAAGACTCTGCTCAAAAAAAAAAAAAAAAATGTATCTGCATGGCTGATATTCAAGTTTAATTCAGGAGCCTAATTTGGCCCAATACTCTCATATTAATTTCAGTAAAAGACAAGCATGAAAATAAAAAGCTTATTCACCATCCTTAAGAGCAGACCTGAAAATTTCTTACTAATTTGCAATAATACACAGAGATTCTGAAAGAAAGGATAAGGGAGTACTTTCTTAAGCACAATGACATTTAGCTGCACAAGATGACAAGGAAGAAAGAAGTTTCTTAAACTCCATAATTAAGGTGATCCCAAAATAAGGCAATTTCATTACCTTGTTGTACACATTGAACCATTCTGGGTGATGATTCATCTTCTCTGCTTGTAGGGCAACTCGGGACATAAAGCCAAATGCCTGTATAAGATGAAGTCAAGAGCAATTACTGATATTGTCCTCTGCCTGAGAGAGATACCAGAACAATCCAACCAGATAAAGACGTGCAGGGATCCTTAGGGAAGCCTGGAGAAATCAAATATGAAAGGATTGCTCCCTGCAGGCCTGGGGTAGCAGCAGAGCAGGACTGTGACCTGTTGCTGGATGGCAAAAAACAATCAGGCTCAAATAAACAAACCAGGAAATTGGTCTCACCCAGTGACCTGTCTGGACTGTTTAATTGTCCTCAGGACGAGACTCTCCAAAATAGCATGGGAATGATTTCCCTTCAACCCAGTGCCCTGGGTCTCACTACCTGGCCCTAAATCTTAGGGGCCACTTTTCTTACAGCCCTGTTCCTTTTGTTTTTAGTGACTGGGCTGCTAACTAGGGCATCAACCACGAGTCTACGGACAAAGGTCTCCTGAGAGCATCTTAAGCAAAAGCACATCCCACGGCCCGGGCCAGACAGGAGCGAGTGAAAGGCTGCTGGCGTCTAGAGTGAAACAGAAGACAGGCTTGCCAGGCTGGGGTCTTCTTGCTACTGCCCCTGCGGTGACAGTGCGCCCACCTCAGGGAAGAGGACAAACCGGGAAAGGGAAAGAGGGCTGCAAACCCCGCCACGGGCCTCAGTGTGGACCTAGAGGGCTCTGTTTTCATACCATAGGGAAAGTGAAAAATAATTTCGTTAACCAGAGGCAAACTTGCCTGGAGAAGGAAAAAAAGTTTTTTGTTTGCTTTCAAATTGTTTTGAGGGTAATTGCAAACAATAGGAGAGTCTGTCTCTACTGTGTGCAGAAGGCAGAAGTACTTGGTGAGACCGTAAGGGAATGGATGGCACGTTAGTCACAAAGTGGCACTGGAATTCACAGGGCAGTACCCACTACACCCACACATATATTAATAAATGCATCACTTCATTACCTCTACCCAGAAAAACCAATATGACGTGAGTTGGGCTATGTTTTTTGGATCATGGAATCACATAAGGGCACATTTCCTAGTTAACAGGAAGAAATATGGAAGATGCCATTTTAAACAATTCTCTACCATTATGGTTCCTATCTCAGAGCCAATTTTACTTGGGATAAAGATTTCCATTTTGACATTTAAGGCCTGAAGGTGTTCCCTGTTATGAAAAGAGAGAAAGTTCAAGCAAAATCCATTTAACCATGTATGGAATTATCTACAGAAAAACAATATTCACTCTCCCAGCCCTTCCCGTTATGTGAAGGGAGAGGACAAATCAGATGTGAAAGTCTGTTTTAATTAATCAAACACACAGTTGACCTATATTAAATGATACATAATGAGCATTTCCACTCTGCCTATAATGCCTTATTCTTGTTTAGCACTGGAAGATGGACCAAGACTAATTATCGTCACTGATAGATAGTAATACAGTCATTTAAGGAATGGCCTTTTGAGCTAAGAAGTCCTGGATTCAAATCCTGATTCTACCACTCAATTATCATGTGAATTAACTCTGTACCTCAGTTTTCTTATCAGTAAAATGGGGATAATTCAAAAATCATGTAATAACTCTAATTTAAAAATGAAATAAAGTATACAAAGATACTTAGCACAACGTTTGGCACAGAATATACCACCATCACTTCTGCTTCTGCCTGAACCATACAAGATAAACCTTATAAAACTCAATGAGAGGCAGAAAGCTCTCCCACAGGCTTGAGAATCTAACTGCTGTCTCCCAGAAGAATGGCCCTTTCCTTTTCCTATTTGTATGAATAGAGACTCACATACGTACGTTAACAGCAAACAAACACGTGATATACTGTGCAGTAATATCCTGCTGCACGTTGACTTGGGAAAACAGCTTAATGAAAAAGAAAGTATGTGGGCACAGTCGCTGCCCAAGTTCTTAAGCTGTGTGGCCACGATTCCTTTGAACCATGACATTCTAAAAGGTCCAGAGTGAAGGAGGCCTAGAACCCCTTACTGTCCCCAAGAGCCGAATGGATCAGGTGGATGACCACAGAAGCAATCATCTTGAACACAGAAGTGCTCCTCAAATCCCTGACCACCAATCCTGTCAACACGGTAGAAAAATCCATCCCAGCACATATGAGACTTGAAAGGGACACACCCGCAGCCCAAGAGGCATACTGACCAAGGAAAACGCATCTACCACATCCACATACAATTAAAAAATAAGAAGGGACACATCCCAAGACTGTCAAGTTTGTATTTTCCTCAGCTTTGCATTAGTTCCCTTCAACTGTCACATAATATTTGCATTTAATAAAATACCACAAAGCCCTTTACACAAGATTTGGTCCCAATTCTTCCTTAAGGAAAAGAAAGCACAATCTGCTCTGGGAGCAAAAAGACAATGCATTCCACAATCCTTCTTCCATAAACACAACCAAATAATCCCCAAAACATTTATTTATAAATCCACAAATTAAAAACATCCATAACAATACACATTCAAGTTAAAACGAAAGACCTATTGCAAGGAATTTAGATGAGAGAGTGAATAAGAGAGGAAAAAAGCAAAACTTCAAAGGGAAATTTTGATTATCTGGAATACAATGAAAAAGGAATCTGACCAGACAGCTGACTTAGCAGACAGTGAAAAGCATCTGTCCCTTCTCTCAAAGGTTTCTTTTTACAGCCCTAGCTCTTTGCTTACCAGGATTCCACTTGGAATCTAAAGGCCTTGAGCTAGCTAAAAGTACAGGCTTTCTAAAGCCATTCCAATCATAGAAAGCTGGAAACAGTTCAAGGAAGAGTAGACACCACTAACAACCCAGTAAAAGACTTAGAGAACAGAACCAAGAAACTGGGCAAAATGAAGTAGAAATCAACAAGAGTTTAGAAAAATTAGAAAATAATAAATGTACCCAGCAAACAAAGGAGACCTAACATAAAGATAATCGTCACTTAATAGAACAAAAAATGAAACAGAAAAAAATTGGAGATAAAATTTAAGAAAAATTTCTAGAAATAAAAGATTTAAATCACTAAATTGTAAGAATGCAACCATGTCTATATGTCCTAGTAAAGTTCATGAACTTGGAAGATTAAAAAATCCTTTTGGCATCTAATCAAAAAGATCAATTCACCTATAAGGACTAAAAGAATTTGCTGACTTCAAATTTCCACACACCAACATTCAACATTAGAAGTCAGAGGGAGCAATGCCTACAAAGACTCGAGGAAATGAAAGTGAAAACAAAGAATTTTATACCCAGCTAAACCTTTGTTCAAAAAATAAATGCAACAGACAGGCATTTTAGAAATGTAATAACTCAGGAAATAATTCCCACTCATCCTTGCTGAGGAAGCCACTAAAGGATGAACTGTAAGTAACTAAGAGATGAACAGAGAATCTGTATCAAAGGTGTTGGTGGTGAGCAATAAATTCGTTCAGCTCTAGGAATGTCTGTGAAACAACAGCGGAGATTACAGTTTCCGAATGGAATGCAAATGTTATAGACGACTAAAGGGGCTGAAAGAGAAAGGGCAAGAAATGGGGAAGGTAGAAGAAAGTAAACAAAATCTGCGAAAGCTGCAAGATCAAGTGTTAGAGACCTAAGTATATTTAAAAGTATAAAATATAAGCACTAGATCTAAAAAATAACATAAACTAAAATAGTGAAAGAAAAGTAGGAGAAAGTAGAGGTATTATGTTGGCACTGCTTAGTGGAGAGACTACAAATGCTACCTAAAGAAATAGAAGACTAAATCTGCTATTTAAAATTATAGGCATAATAGCATTCACAAGAACCAAAATAAAAATATAAACACTCGTCAATTAAGTAAAGAAAAACATAATTAAAATGAAGCAAAGAAAACACAATCCATATCATGATTTAAAATAAGGGAGAAAAATGTCTATTGGTTCTGTCATATTTTATAAGACCAAAGATATATGTCTAATTAATAAATGTAAAGAGGCTGAATCCAACCAACCAAAAAAGAAAAAACTTGTACGTTGGATCACAAACCAAACTCAACCACTGAAAATAAAAGCACATAGGCAAATGCAAATTTTCAAAAAGAAATATTACACTGATTTAGGGCAAAACATTAAAAGTTATGAAGAAGGATAACTTGCATTTATAAAGTACATCCACAATGAAGATTGAGTAATTATGAATACCTACACTACAAATAACATAGCATCAAAATTAATCAGGCAGAAACTATAGTAAATATAGAACAAATAGAAAGAGACATTTATAATTGGAGACTTTAATTCACACCTCTTAACCCATGACAGACTAAGCAAACAAAAGATATGGACTACTTAAATACATAATTTAAAAGGTAGACCTAAGGCCGGGCGTGGTGGCTCATGCCTGCAATCCTAGCACTCTGGGAGGCCAAGATGGGCGGATCGTTAGAGCTCAGGAGTTCGAGACCAGCCTGAGCAAGAGCGACACCCCGTCTTTACTGAAAAAATAGAAAGAAATTGGCTGGACAACTAAAAAAAAAAATTAGCTGGGCATGGTGCCGCGTGCCTGTAGTCGCAGCTGCTTGGGAGGCTGAGGCAGGAGGATGGCCTGAGCCCAGGAGTTTGAGGTTGCTGTGAGCTAGGCTGATGCCATGGCACTCTAGCCCAGGCAACAGAGTGAGACTCTGTCTCAAAAAAAAAAAAAAATAGACCTAATTGCTATATTTTAAACTCTGAAAACTGAGAATATACCTTTTAAAGCAGTGATCCCCAACCTTTTTGGCACCAGGGACTGTTTTCATAGAAGACAATTTTTCCATGGACCTGGGAAAGGGGGAATGGTTTTGGGATGATTCAAGCACATTACATTTATTGTGCACTTTATTTCTATTATTCTTACACTGTAATATATAATGAAATAATCATACAACTCACCATAGGTTGGGGACCCCTGTTTTAAAGTATCCATTGAACACAGAAATTAAACACATATTAAATAGCCCATATAGAAAATACAATTTCAAAAAGTAAAAATCACACTGACAACATTGGCCGGGTG